TTGAGACCCCTTCCTTATTCACGCAATACTGCACTGTAGTTGGAGACGGAATTCACCCAAAACAGACGAGTTAATCGATGTTTATTACCATAGGCTTTTCTGCCGAAGCCCCCGATGAAATAAAATTACAGTAAATGATTCGACGGAGACCCTTTAATTTATTCTTTCTACCTATGCATTGTAAAAAGATCCTGCCCTTTTGGAGCTTACACAAATCAAAACATTCCATATAATGTATAGCCATAAATGATGTCTAATTTACTCCTTGTGTATTCCGATTCTTCGTAGACCTTGCATCTTAATCTTCAACTTAATGCAACGTCCCTTCACACAAGGAGCCCTTAGGGTACTGCAAAGCACATACAGTATTTAGAGCTTCTGACTTAGCATCTGACGGAAGCCGTTGAAAATCCTTGTTGGTACAGCACGGGGACGAGCTTCTGGCTTTCGCAACAGCAGTCAGCAAACATAAGGACACGACGTATCCTTGGTTTTGCAACACTGTACTGTACTTGACACTAACCTCGAAATGGATCGCTGAGGCGATAAACTCGAAATGCAGATACAGTACCAGTTGACATTTTCCAGTTTCGGAGCAAACGTTGCATGAAGACCACGACCAGCGTCGTTACTCGGAATTGCACGTCATTCGCCTCGCGGGAAAGGTCTTTTTGAATTACGCAGCGATCTTCCGGGAAGGCAGGAAAATATTATGATGCTTCGAGTAACTTTTGTACTGAAGTCGCAATCTCGAGATTCGGCTTAAGCCATTTCGCGAAGACCCCATTCGACGGAATGTGGAATACGCGGCTCATTTTAGCCCTTGTCGGATGCCGCACGTGTGCTTGTTGCAGCCCCCCGACCGCCGGGCGAGCTCAAGTCTTTGTCGCAACAGGAAATTGAACCCACAGCGCGCATCGGTCTTCGTTGGCATGAATGCCGACAACGGGAAAGCCTTCATTTCTGCATTTGATCAGGCGACGTAATCATATCCCTTTGATCTCGACGTTCCGCACGTTTTATACTCCGAGTTTTCGACGGCTGGAAAACCTGAGGAGGTCCCGGGACTGAAAAGTCCCCAGCTACATCTTCCTTTTGTTACCAGGTAGCAATCCTAAAAACGCAATTATCCGGCTTTGGCACAGGAGAGAGGGATTGTTCACGCCCTTCTTCGACCACTGGTCCGCGGAACATCGCAGGTTCATGCAAAGTTTCTGAAATTTCCCTAGAATTCGGATCATTAATAACCAGTCCACAAATTGCGAGACATGGTTCGAAAGCTTTTTCCGTGCGCAGTACTGCAATCAAATAGATTCGAGATCTCAGAACCAATGTGATGGGATCGTCAATAGCAAGCATTCTGACCAAGCCTCTGACTGTGGCCACTTGGACACGAATGCAGTACTGTACTGTATAAATTTCCCCGTGATCTTCACATTCAGCATTATGAACACAAAACTTAACCAGGCACATTCTACAGAGTAATTTGGTTATCACATCTCAGACGTAGTCGCTAAAAGAGTCTTCAGTCATTTTCAATACAGTTAGCTCTTGCAGTGGTTTTTTTTATTAATAAAACATGAAAAATGGCTTATTATAAAACTCAGTGAAGTGCAATTTTAACTCCCCGTGTAAACAAAATTAGAGTCATGGTGGGGAAATGGTTCTGTCGTTCTGATCACGTTATCCGATCATTTATCAAGATTCCGTGATGGAAGGAACAAACGAATAACTTTTACTGTACTGTACTTGCGAACCGATTGACCGTTTCGCGAAGGATTTTTATTCTTTTCCGGTCTGCGTAGGTAGGGAAGATGAGGGAAACCGACAGGTCACACCTTCTTTTAGATCCCTTGAAGACAGATGCATATTTTCAATGTTCTCGTTCCCCAGTTATGTTGTTTTACAATATTCGAGTCACGGAAATGCGTCTATGCCTCGATGCTGTCTGCCTGTTAGCCGGGTTCTTCTTTCGTAAAGTTGAGTCGTTTAGCGGCGTAATTATGAAAATAGGTCCAACTCTCAAGTGCGGCATAATTGAGGCGAAACGTCAGAGATGCTCGAGGACCATGAAGGCAGCCCTTGGCATGCGCTGGGCTGTGGTCTTCCATGTGGCGGAATACCAAATGAAAGATCTTCAGGTCACTGCAAGTATCATACGCCTCCTGGGCTCATTGCAAGTCTCGGCTGTGCATGGGCTAATGCCACGGGTTGCCGGAGCGCTTGTTCCGAATGCACCATACGCGTACATCCGCGGAGACGACTCGCTGGAAAATCAAAAGGAAAAAGCTACTTCCTTCACCCGTTATTTCTTTTATGTGGTTTGGCCATGCTCGTCGGGCTGATTTACAATCCAGCATGAGCTGACCAGTTGATCACAACATGAGAACGAATGCCTCGTATGAGCCCACCACGAGAGAATTTTGGACGGAGTCCGGTGATGCTGCTTGCAGGCAACTCCTTGATCAAAGGCGGATAAGTCGAAAAAAGCAGCATCGAAATCAAATTACTCGATAGAAAGAATAAAAGAGAGAATACTAATGTATCTTTAATTCGTCATACCAAGGTTAAAATTTAAAAAGGATATCTTCATTTCAAGGTTTTCGGAAGCAGCACCAATTCAAAAACATATATATGGCTTTTCTGAAGTACAGTACTGTAACATAATGTAGGTTAAAAAAAATCTGCTCCGAATAATCCGTCTCAGCACCTTTACCTCTTTTTTAAAAAGCGCCAAATCTTGAAAAGAAAGAACAGAACAAATCTCTTTTAAAAGAGGAATCGCTCAGCGAGTGTTCAAATGATCATGCACACTTGACATCGATCAATCATGGTTCCCTGTCGATGGAAATTCGATTACTGTTCCCAGGGGGGAGCTGCCGCAAAGCGGACACACCAAATCGCTGGGAAAATCGACATCAATGCACGACACATCCTTTTATTAGCTTCAAGCATCACTGCGCCAGGTGCATGACGCACATTCCGTGATGCAGAAGAAGATTAAGCCCAAGAAAATTGTCCTACTTACCGTATTCAGAAATTGATTCATGGACAAAAATACCCCACTGTACGCTCCACAGCTTTTTTTCCCATCAAACTAATACTTCGTCATTTTTTATCGTTAGAAATTATTATCCGGATTGCTTACCGCCTTTAACATAGAAGGTTTTTCTCTCTCAAAGAATTCTGCGCATTAAATTACAGAGATGAAAAGTACCGTATAATCGACCACTGCATCAAAACATGTTCTCTCCTATTGATGTAAGTTCTAACTTAAGTTCAAAGAGAAACATTTTTTAGATTTCCTGGAGGTTCTCGGTGCAACTGCATGCTTCAGAAAATTTTAAAATAAGCATGATTATCGGGGTATTTTCGAGACAGTACTACTGAAAGTATCAAGACCGTCTCATGAATGAACGGAATTGCGCGGTGAACTTTTGTCGCCATAATCCCCTTCCCCGCTTAATTAATGGAAGACATATAATCATCCGAACAATGTTTCCAATGATGTGATCATCTGAAGTTTTTAACTACCCGTGGACTCTCTCACTCTCTCTACCACGAAATTCAGGCGGCACCCAAAAAAAGTTCGTTGTAGAGAAAATCCCGTACAGAGACAATCCTTGCAGACAATATCGTTGCACGGAGAGTTTACCTGTACTGTATTCTACTTCTAACAAATGTAGTGGAAAATCTGAGTAAGCGCGCAAATCAGACAAGACTCGAGTCTTTTGTTCCAACAGGTAAAAGCTGTCACTTGTGAGGTGTTGTTATCCTCAGTTGAATTACTCACAAGTCACAACTGGAGCAATAATGTTTTCATGTAAGGCAAAGTAAATGATTAGAAAGGGAACACACTCCGTCCGATAATATATTCAGTATACAGTTTAACGCTTCGGTGGTAAAGAGTGTTATTGTGCTGAAAACGATTTGTGCGACTTGAATCCTCAACACTTCGAAGTGTTGATTCCGCTGTATGAATGGCAAAAACACTCGACCCTCTGCCTCATGTCATCCGAGGCCGCGCCATGGAAATTGACCTGTCAGCAAATTCCCTTCCAATGCTTCTTATGACACGAACTTGAAGATTCCACAGATGAGGTGGAAACAAGGCGCAAGCCATGAAGAATATAAATTGAGTTCATCCTTGAGGCCGCGCTGATGGTGTACGCATCTCACGCATACGAAGCCGCGCACCGAATTATCAGCATCGAGCTTTGCATATTTAACCTCCGAAAAATTGAAACCCGGAGGTTATTCCTCGGAGCAAGCTATTTTAAACCGCCGGATAATTGAAATTTATAATTAAAAGTCTGTGTGTTGATTAATCGTGGAGCAATTTTTCAAAATAAATTTCAAAGAAATGCTCCCTCCGGAATTCACTTGCTTATGAAAGTAAAAGACTGTTGAAAGACTTTCAGAGACTGAAAGGAGCCAAGTTATTAACTTTCGCATTTTGTTTTGGAGAAGGGGGATTTTAGATTGTACAGTATTGGCATATGTTGGATTATCTCAACTAGACGTCGGCTTACATCGGCTATATATCAGATTATCTTAATCGTTTAAACTTTAAAGGTAACACAAATGGGACTGTAGTGCGACCTGCATCTAAAAACATCAAGCACCTGAGTTCAGAGCTTTTTTTTCCCACGGTGAAAAGGTCGTATATAATTCTGTGAATATGGTACGAAATTGTGGAAATCAAATTGCTCAGAATCGAGCTTTACACCAGTATTCATCAATTATTACATAGCTGCTGCTCAGCTGAAACTAGAAATAGCCCGAATCAACACCAGACGCCAACGCAATGTATGCCAAAACTAAAATCGCATTCTTCAACCATGAGAACAGCTTCTGATCGAAGAGAAACTTCGCAGGCAGAACGATATCCGCAATGCGAAGGACGCTCAAGTGAGGTGCGACACCCACGCGTATTCCTTCGGACAGCTGAGAATCAACCACGAAATCGCGTCACGGCAAGTAAATGAGAATGCAAAACGTGGAAAAACACGAAGGAACACCTTTTTACCTTCCGTCCGACACAAACAATTTTTTCTCAGCGATAAAACGAGGGTCTTCCGAATAGTTCATCAGCGAACTTGCGGGGATTTCTTCACTAAACGATCGATTTGGTCAACCTCTGAGGGGCCACAGCCCGCAACTGCTAACTACAGATTTGGATTAGACCAGCAATCCCAACTATCGAAAAAGTGAATATCTGAGAACAGCGAGATGCAATCGACAGTGTCGACGTCACAGGATCAACCCCATTTCGAAAATTCACATCGACAGACAATGAACATCAAGAATGTTTTATAAAAAAAATAACAAGTCATCAATATCACGTTTCCAGAGCTCGCAGCAAAACTCTACCTCGAGCTCGCGAAACATGAGAAAAAAAATCTCACGTTTTTGAACACTCACTTCAAACTCCTTTGTGACAGCCGTACAACAAGGTTTACGCATTGTACATTCCTCTGCTGGAACATCCGCATACCTCGATCGATTTCCATATAACTTCGTCAGAAAACTCTGAGAGACTGCGGGAGTCGACGAAATGCCCCGGAAAATTAAAATAAAAATCTATCGCCGTCGAAATAAGCGTAAACGCGCCTTATACCTCGAGAAAGGGAGCAATATCCCTAAAAGCCTCGAGTACATTTTAGAAAATCCAGACTCAAGAATTCCAAGCACGGGACTATAGGTCAGAAAACCGCACTTTCCGGTAAAAACAGCTCGAAGGTAAGACGCGGAAATATCTCGCTGCTGTTACAGTACATGACCGACCACCACATGTGCGACCAACAAAAACAAAGCGATTGATTTTAGCGAACAACGAATAGCCATAATTTATTCGCGCGAGATAAAAAAAGAAAGTTTCACTTTCAATATTTGTTTTTCACTAACAGCTATTTTCATTTTGCATACCATTAATCATCAAAGAAACCGAAACAATTTTAAATTTGCCTATTCAAGAGAAAAATAAGGCCACAAAATTATTTAAAAAATAGCGCGGACTTTCGTCGTACCCCTCTCAGTTATAGCGGAACACAAGTTTCTTCATAATAAGAGGACCACACAAGACGGACGACGATAGCTCATCTCGCTCCACTCCCATCTTCCACATCTACAGAGGTTCCATGCATTTAATCAAGTAGCGTCGGTATCATATTGCAACATTTTCATCAGTGCTGATTTCCTCTGACATCAGATAAGTTTGGCATTATATTGAGGTAATACTGTACGTTCCTATTAGCTAGTGTTCAGTTCGGTTCAGTCACACACAGTAAACCTCTTTCATGTCATCAAGGTCAGCTACAGCACTCCAGGATTACTGCAATTTTTAGGGTCAACGCCGTATTATAATAATATTGTGCAACCAGATTTGTCACTCAAAGCTCGGCTGGTCCACAGCGAAAACAAAGTTATTCCGGTCAATCACGCACTAGAACAGCACAAATATCTCAACTCTAGATCACTAGCAGGAATCGAATCCGTGAGACAGAGGTCGTGGACAGTGGTAACAAAATACGACAGCCATCCTGACAGCACAGGGTTCGGCGACTTAACGCAGAGCCACGGTGGCCTCTGCGTTTCAGCAGCCTCCGATTGGACCCATCCGCGGTGCGTGAAGAAAAGTTTGCTCCTCATCAGTCATTGTGATAATTCAGAGTCATCCGGCGGAGAAACATATGGATTTCCTTGAAAGGCGGCCTCCCAAGCTCGTCCTTGTTCCAACACTCCTTCATCAAGCCGTACAAGTCCTTCGGACATGTCGAGGGTTGACGGAGATGTATCTACGAGAGGGGGCGACAAAAGATTCTCGTTAGCAACTTCATTTTTCACAGCTACTGTCAACTGCTCGAATAGGCGAGAATTGTGGGTGGCCGGCCCGAAAATATTTGCATGGGGTCTCGTTTCACGGACAAGCCACACGCGCGTATGAAAAGCGCGATTGACGGAAACGGAACGGAGGGTGCATCCTGCTTTATTTTGCCGCCGTTCCGCAGTAAAGCGACTCTCGAGGCATTATTTTGCTGTGATAAACTCGTGACACGGCACTCCGTGGTTTTTCTTCTCTTCGTTCCCCCCTTTTTTTTCAGGGGTAAGGGCGGGGTGATTGAGACGGGACTTCGCAAACGACGGGGTCGCGATTACTGGGGGATAAATATTTGGAAACCCCGTGTCGTACTTCGCTTCACAATATACCACAGGACTTCGGGGACGCTACAATGCGTCCATCGAAATTCCTGTCCACCACAGGGGTTCCACACTCGTCGAGGGCCAAATGAGTCGCCCCTGCCGTTTCAGGACTCACGGCATCTTTCAATCGTCGAATGTCAATAAAATTTCCTATACTCCAGTCAACTTGATTCTCAGATACTATACTTCCAAAATGTGTTTTTGACGTTAACCCCGCATGCAGACCAGTACCGTATTTACAAGATAATAGGCCGCACCCGTGTTTCGGTTTCTTATATCAGGGAACAATACTGCGTAATCGAAAAAAAGCTGAAATTTTGAAGAAACAAAAATCAGATACAGGGGTAAATAAAGTAAAAAACACTGTTTCTACATTATCTCGAACGTGAGACACACTTAATATGCGTTTGTTTGGTAGAGATCAGGTCGTACATGAAAACAGCATCTTGAGTAAATTGAGTTGGATGTGGCTTACTTAAAGTATAGCTTACATCCAAATTGGAAGAGGATTGGGTGGTGCGGTTGCTTAAAATTTTGTGAACAATATACAGTACAGAATTTTCTTCACATCAAATAGACGACAACTGAATCATTCTCTCGAAACCATATACTGTGACATTTGGTTGACATTTACTTCTCGAAATTACGTCCCTGTGCAGCTGCATTGGTTCGAATCAAAGATGACACTGTAAATCAGCAGAACAGTCTCTTTCAAGAGCTAAATTTGCAGCTGTTGCGCGACTGCAGGGCCTGGTAATGTAATTTAGATTCGCCCGAAATATAAACTTGAAAACGAAATCCAACGTATTAAGCAGGTGATTTCGGATACCAAAATAAGGTAGTCGTGACTTTTAAACCCTCATCTGAGCGGGAAGGAACCGCTCTGGATTCAGAAAGATTGACGTCAGAGAAGCGAGATTAAATCAAGCGAGTTTGAACTAAATCACGGTAAAGCTCTCGATCAGTTCGGGGATTAGAGTGAATCACGAGAAAATTGGAAATTTCCCGTAGTTGTTCCCTTTCGTGAAAACAACGATGCCGCGTCGCATCCAATCTCAGCGAAACTGTCGCTCGATAACACGCGGCAATTATTCGAACCGCAATAGCGATCCTAGCATTCGACCCGTCCGCCGGCTAAGAGACGATTAAATTGATTGCGACGTCGGTGGCAGTAAGGTCAACGTAATTTTTCCGCTGCTGGCTCTTTCTCCGCTCCAGTGTTAAGCCGGCTCGTGTGTGGCACATCACGTTTGCTCGAGATGATTCTTCAGCAAGCGGAAACGAGTGGGGGAACAAGCATTCGGGAAATTTTCACAAGCTTCGCAGTTGCCGGACGAAGTGAACGACCGCAGAGTTAACATGGATTAGCGATGGAAGAAAGCGGATCACAACGCTTTTGTCTTTTGCGGGAGCCCGTGCATACTGTATAGTGTATGCAATTCGCCGAAACCCGAAAGTGACCGAAAGTTCGTCAAAGTTGAACATACTCCCTACAGGCCAGTGGAATACAGTGTCAAGCTATCGATCTGCTATCACATAGGCAGCTTTCCGGTATTCCGAAGCTGGACAGCTATTTAATGGAAAAAGTGAGACCCCGATATACGGACATAATTGGTGCATAAAGAGTGTCCCGAAGTCCAAATGTCTGTATGTCGAGTCACGTTTTCCCTTAGAATTGCATTATGTAATTTTAATCCGTGTTCTATTGAAGAAATATTCGTCAAAAGTCCACGGAAAACCCAAAAAATTGCCTTGTCAGTGACAAATATGATTCAATCCAGTCTACATCTTTCAACTCAATAAGAAAATTTTGAGAAAATTTTCAAAATGGATTTGAAAATGATGACATCAATTTAAAATAATTTTTCTTAAATATATCAAGGAAGCATAAAAAATTCGTCATAGAGATACTGTACTTTTATTGTAGAGAACCCCTAAAACACACGAAAAGAGCCCTGTGGGACCCAAAAAATTCCTTACAGAGAGAAAATCGTTATTGTGAAGATCGTTGTACAGAGGGAATTTTTCATGAAACTTGGCTATATTAGCCTGCACTGCCCGCATCTCGAGTCAGTGTCCGCATGCCGGGCTTCTTCTAACTAAAAAAAAAGTGCCCGTAAGTTGAATCATCCGCATGTCGAAGTGTCCGCATGTGGGGATCTCATTGTACAGTATAGGCAATAGAAAATCAGCATTTCGGAGGATTACTTTGGCGAATTCATTAAACGTGACTATACAGCGGTCCGTTATCGTGATCAAATTTAGTCCGTAAAATGAAATACATATTTCAAAGCAATGTGGATTAAGTGAGGTGGGTAAAAAACTAAGGGAGGCAATACTGAAAAACCGAAATCATGCTGAAAAAATAATCTGCGAGGAAAACATCTCAAAGTTTTATAACTTTTTCGGAAAAAAGTGCGGGCTATAATCGCAAGAAAAGCGTAATCGCATCCTTGAAGTGGTTATTAAAGTCGTGAATACAGAACCATTCTTGAACAGTGATTTCAATCGAGCATGAAGCGAACTTCGTTTCAAGAAACACTAAAGCGAAGAAATGAAGATAACCTTTTTTTCCTTGCGCATTCTACCTCTACCTTCGGAAGATGAATGAACCTGCTTTATCAATCATCCAGGTTAGGAAAAGCTCACAGCGCTGACCATACCGTGTGAAACGAACGACTACTTTTTCTTCAGAGCAGAGATCTTGAAAGGACGGCTCATTCGGAAGAAAGGGATCGAAGAACGGCGAAAACAGGAGATCAAAGGGAAGCATTCCGAAAGTTTCCCGGCAACATGCGAGAGGAACCTCAGGTCGCGGGAAATTTTAATAGGCAGGAAAAGTTTCCCCTTTCGTCAGACAAAGCTCGTCGTCGGGGGTCCGCTCTTCAATCTTCAACGGGATGCTATTTTTCTTGGTCGGGTTGGGACGCACCGGGCTTGGAATGCGGCCACCTTTGTGCAAAGATACAAATCCTCCAGCGAGGGTTATAGCGCCCCTAGATGTCTATTTCCACCCTCACGCCGGCACTCACGCGGATGATCGCCGCGGCAGTTGCGTTTTTTTACGAACGTCCACGCGTGAAAACTAATACAGTACAGGATGTCTTCACCCTGCTTCACACCGAGCTAAAAACCCAACTCCGACTTTTACTAGCGATGCTGAGTGACACTTCATACATCATCCACTTTTCACAACTTCCAAACATTAAGAAAAAACCTGCCGTCGACGCACGTGATCTAGGAAAAATCCACATATTTTTTGATTAAAAAAAATGAGCCATCGATTCAGAGCCTCCACTTTTATGGGCCTGAAAATGGAAGAACTTTTGCTCGCAAATCTGAGACGCACTTTTACGGATTTTCTCGAGGATCAAAAAGGCCTATTGAAATCTCATCCAACGGCACATCTTCACTTCGTCATTCAGTTGCTTTCTCTGCCAAAATTTCATCGAAAGCGATATACTGCCCAGACTTAGACACACGTGTATAAAGAATACAAAGAATTACATCGTCCATGGATTGTTTACATGCGCCATTCTTTGGTAACAGGACGGAGTGCACCATTATGTTCGGGTATTTCATGATGCCATTACCATTGAAAAACTTTCAGCGTTTTATTCGTCATGAAGCGAATACAGTAATGCAGCTTTGTCTAGTAATCCTTGAGACTTCATTTATATTCAACAGTTTCAGTTGGTCAGAAGCAATCACCGACACACGAAAATCGAAGACCTCATCGAATAGTGAACACAACCCGATTATAGAAAGCTGATCTTGGATAACGAAGTGCGTCTCATATTTGAGTTGATGTTGTACATGAAAAAATCATAGACGGAATAGATCCTATAAGTGCATGGAATCTAAATGAGAACGAAAAGGGGAACGAACGTTTTTTCAAATCAACGAAACTTTCTCGGGGAAATTCCAAAAGGACAATGAATTATTCTTTCCTTAATTGCATTCCTGCGGCCGACGGCAACAACGACTGGCGTCGGGAAGTTTCGACGATGAGTCCCGCGACGCGTCCATTAGAAACTCCCCCTAGTCCACATTACTGGGATCATCGTCACGGATTATCAAGAAGAAAAACAACGCAGAGGGATGATCTTTTCTCTGGACGCGGTTGAGATGAACATTACTCAGACAGTGACTTCTCTAAACAGACCTCACCCCGGCACCCAAACGAGCATCGTACATCGCTCTGACGCGCCCCCATACGCCGTTTCCCATTGCCCCGCAAGACGCGAAAGATCGTACTCCCGAGATATTTGGCACGACGTCCTCGTGGACCCTTGGAGTTCCACACGTTCAAGTTCGATTTTTTGCGGGGGAGCTGCTTTGACCGCGCCGCAAAATAAAAACTCTTTGTCTCCCCCCTTGCATTCTGGGAAATGTGCAGATCTGGTCATCTTGTCCCCAGTCTATCTTCTACCGCAGGGAAGGTTATTTTTGCATAACACCTTTCGCTGACGTCAATATTTTCATCCCTCACAAAATGATTGAAGAATTATACAAGTACATTTTTAAAGACCCAATGTTTTGGAGTTGCTTGGAGTTGCTCAAAAATAATTGTGAGCAACTTATTTTTGAGCAATATTGAAATGTGTATTCCAAGATTTAATATCTTGCTCAAAATTGTTGTGTATATACTCTAGCAGTCTAAAATTAAGATTTTTGTGCTTCATACTGCTGGTCTTGCCATACTTGCCTTCGACAGTTTTCAAACGAGGTTTTACTGATATAAAAATGCCTTTTATGGGATTTTCGTACTTACGGGATTTTTGGCCACACAGGATTTTCGGGCCGCGGGATTTTTTCTCCCACGGGATTTTATCCTGCACCCGTTCAGGGTATAGTTGTTTCATTATTGCTAAATAATTTTCATTGGAGTGAATGTCACCGTATCTTATTGGGCACCCCTGCGAGTAGACCAATTTCCTGATGTCCCCGTGAGCAACTATTCCTTCCTCTCCCTTCTTTCAATCAATTCCGATTTTTCATTGACAGTGATTCATGTTTATCGCCGTCCGGGTTTCTTGGGGTACAAAGACGTGTGGAACTCAAAGTGATAATCGACGTCCTCTCCCGCGGCGAGGGAAACCCTAGTCCGGGTTATAAATTATACCGGCGTCGACTTAGAAGTGGGCAATGTTCAACACATCATCTGCACGGACGGATGAATAAGATACGAATCCTCATCATAACCGGCAAGAGATGTAGAAGGATATGGGGGAGAGAAAACAAAGGAATCTGAGCCCCACAGGAATGGCTTATTGGCGAACACCGATAGCGAGGCTCGGATACTCCCTCCATGTATCTCGATTCTCGAAACCCTGCTGGTAGAAGTGGGTGTGCAATATTTACGGCAGACGGGCGAAGACTTGATCGGGAAACAACCACGGGATCTGACCATCGCCTCGGCGCTGGTTTTGTGTGAAACTTTCGGGTACGGCGAAGACTATTGAACCGATTTCCGCGATTACAGACCGCACGCAAATGAAGGCCGCACTCAAATTTTGAGGGGAAAGGGGAGCATAGGCCGCAGAAAATATGAAAGTCCTGCATTTTATTGTGCGACAAATTGCATTATACAGCATTTATTTCTGTGACATTTCATGGAAATTTAAATGGCATAAAGATTGTATTGACTCGGTCAAAAAATCACTCTGCTGGTAAAATAACGCGAAAAACCACACATGAAGCAAACGGTGGGAAAGATTTTAGGGAGATTTTTGTACGGCGGCAGGATTTGATTTATTATTTTTTACTTGACTTCCTTTTTCCCTCTATTTCATTTTGAATATCAGCCAACATTTACATGCACCGAGATCCTGCCTCGTACCCGAGTATAACGAGCATAGGCCGCACCCGAGTAAATGCAGTAAACCTTGAAATCAAAACACCTTGAAAGGACTTGTTCTACGTTGATTGATCGATCAATTCCAAGCTCCTCACACACACACTCTCGATTCCGACACAAACGACAAAAATTCGAGTCTGGTTTTGGTATCTTCCTTATTTGTTCCTCTCGATGTAACTCGAGTCACTAGATGATATTCCTGGTGCTTTTTCGGGAAGCAACAGCGTCAGTTCAACGCGTTGAGGGCGGCAGTAATTCCGAATGATTAATTAAGTCATCGTCTCCGGAGCGGGGCCATTATATACACGTAATGCCATACTGGAACATCTTCACATCCCAACATTTCGTTCTAATGATAGCCACTATCGTCATTGAAGTGGGCTGATGATACCTCTCATCACCACGAATCTCAGCTCTGCCATCGGATAAATTAATTGCCCGATCACGAGAGATCCTTCAATGCCGACTTACACTTCACGCATTCAACACGGAACAGGTTGAAATCGCGAAATCGGTTTAACGACTGCCGCGTCCTCTGAATTGAACGAACACGTAAGAAAAAGCCGGGATATTTCCGAGTAGGATTTGAATTTTTGAAGCTCTACGAATGAGCAAAGCAGAGGCGTCTTACGTTTACTACAAATTAAGAAAGGAATGACTTCAAAATCCACAGTGCATTGAACTGGAGATTACAAAAATGTGAGAGGGAAAAATGACGCAAATTTTCCGTAACTACGGCAATGCGTCAGGCATTCAGAAACAACCCGACGAAAAATTCGTTTTGTCTGATTGATTTCGCTTTTTATTTCCTTAGAAGATTGTGATTTAGTCTGCACTAGAGTATACTAGACAACCACGCATCTTTGAGTGAGACGCACATTAATTTTTAAAAAGTGCATAAAGAGATTCTTTTGAAATCTAATATTCACTCAAGTATGATGCGCACATTTTCTTATCGAATTGCAGTACATTACATTTTATACCATTACAAATCATTGTACGGCATGTGAAAACATCATTTGGGATCGACAAATTTGAAATTCGAAGTTATGCATTCAAATTCGACCGAAGAGTTCATTGGTATGAAAAAGACATGGAATAGTTTGAAAACTGTTAAAATATGCCAAAAATTAAAAACATTCGCAATGAAAAACGGTCAACATCTTCACTCATTTTTGATAAATTTTCATTTATTGTGGTTCATTTTCAAACCGGTTGTTCTCCATTCTGATTCAATAATTCGTTATATATTTGCGCATGCGAGATATTTTCACGGAGCAAAAGAATAGTCGCCGAAGGGTGGAATGTGAGGAGAGATAACTAACATTCAGAGAATAAACGCCTCAAAATAAATAAAATTAAACAAGTAACACTTCGAGAATGTAAGTTAGAAACCCGTGACCGAGGCCCATCATAAACATTTTACCGGGTGATACGAGTTCCCTGAAAATATTGTTACCCGAAGAAGATTTCGGGAGCGTCAGGCATCATAAAGGATATGAGGGAATGGACAAAGTTGGAAGCGACCCACGATCGGAGACGCGAAGCGGCACACGACCACCCCAGGCAGTGGAACGATCTCCCCCACGCGAAGGGGCATTACAAAGGAAGCCCTTTGGGCTGAGCCTTTGTGGGTCATCATCAAGAAGTTCGTGAGCCAAAAGTGAGACCTCAGGTCTCCGACGCACAAAATGTGCTCTAATCTCATACGGCTCTCTCTCTGTGTGAAGACGGCGAGGGTCATTACAACGTAGGAATAGTATCACTGCTCTTTTCTCCTGAAACCTTGGGCGGTTACGGATGACAATACATGCAGTGCAGCTACGAAGGACAGTAGGGTGATCATCGCATGCTCCCATGACGAAGTAAATGAAAACGAGCAGGTAAGGTTCAAGAGGAATTCGAACGACTCGGGAACAATGGGCCAGGCAGGCAAGATGGGAAACGTACGTGCTTCATCAGCTTTCGCGTTTATTCCGAGAAAGAACGCGCGACAAAAGCATCGCTTGATATTACTGTACTTGATCTATCTTAACTGAAGGAACGACAGGGCAAACAGATTTTCATTTAAAAAACCCCTTTATAGGCCCGGAGATTTCATAAGGCAGAATGAATCTGCTCCTCAGAACAGATTCGGTGAAAATCAGAACCAATAAAATAAAATCAAAACTCTGAAGAGAAAGTCTTCCTCTGTCAAGCATCTCTTCTCTTTATTTAAAGACTTGAAATTTTCTTGAAATCCATATAAATTTACATCATTGAAAAATCGAAGCCGCTCCCCGGGAGTTTCTGAAACGATTTCTCGAAGTATTTCATCAATGGCATCCATTTCTTGATTCATTGAAGTACTGCACTTCTACAATTGCATTCACTCCCAGTTGAAGTTTTCCGAAAAAGCTCACATGTTTTCAAACAGGACTTCCTTCGATGCAATTCTCCAGGTCGCAAAATTATCCAGGATTGCTTTCTAATGAATTGAAACGCAAACGCAGCATTGTCCAACAGCCGAAAATTCAATGCAGATAGACCTTATAAGCCATTATAAAAAAATACGCGTAAAGCAAGGCAAGAAGTAGAAAAATACTGCGCCGTTTATTGACACGCCTGTCACACGCTTTTATTCGAAAAACGCGTATGCATGCTTTCCTAAAAAAACAGTTCGGCAGTTTCTTTCCATAGAAGACCTAACTTTTGAGCAAATGTTCCATGCGAAAATTCCAAAAGCTTAAGTATAAACTGTCCCACAATACTTTTTTTTTTGCGTACATAGTTCAAAAAGACGCCGAATTACAGCAATAATACGTGGACTTTCTGAGTAACGATTTCCTCAACAGCAATATTTCGCCATACAATGATCTTATTCAGGCCCCAACAGGGCTTCAATATGTACTGTATGAGCAGTACACTTTCATTGCCTACAACGACCTTGTTTTTGTAACGAATTATCAACCTGATTATCGTTGCAGACATTTCACCTGTATCAAATTTTCACTTTCATTTGATGAAAAGAGAATACGATTTCCTCATTACCTAATGAACAGAAGTCTCTTTCGATTGAACCCTTGCTCGTTTCGAAGTCAGCATAGCCGATTACAAATCCAAACTATTTTTGAACTTCTGAGAAATTTTTGATGAAAAACATCACCAGGAAAAAACCTTGGGGCGTCACACCGTTCCATCACGGAACTTGAGGAAGATGCCTACACCATTCCTCAGCTTATGCGAGAAGTTCGAAGATGGACAAAATATTTCTTTTTTTCGCTTGCGTGACTTTCGGACGTACATGAAAAAGCTTTCCAGAAGATTCATCGGTAATTTTTCTGTAAAAAAAAAATCAGGAGGCGGCCCAAATAGTGAACATTTCTGGCGCCGGAACGCACGGTTCTGCATGACAGCGCGTCTTGTCCTGTGGCATGAATGGGGCAAATTTTGAACAGAACGTCGGAAGTTTCAGAAAATAAGCAAAGGAAAAAGTTATCAGCAAAAGGTTTTTTCTTTGCTTTCTGATCTACGGAAAAATCCGCCGGTTACATACAAACAAATAACACCCACCAAGATTACGAAACCGCATACAGTACTTGAAAGCTAAAGTGGAAGAAAAAATTTGAAACTAAACGCGTACGGAGTTTATAAATTCAATAAAAAATAACATTTATCCGTTCGTCAAGGGGATGCCAACCCCCTGGCCAAGCGTTTGCCAACGCTTCAACATGGACTTCGATCTCGCCCTCCTGAAGCGAGATTAAAATCTTTAAAATTCCCTTGAGTAATGGTAGACAAAATGGGTGCTCTCTCGAATCGCACAAAAAAAAAAGAAGGGAAAAAACCGGGCGAATGCCGGCAGCATTTTATAACACGTTCAGTGAGTTTACCCAGAAGCTGTTCAGAGGCCGCTGAGGTTTCAAGTTTGAAAGCCATATTAAATGAAACCCATGTAATCTTTCGGGAAGTCCGCAAGAGGTTTGCTTGCATTGCATTCAATGCTCCCCTACGAACTGAATCTCACTACTGTATTCCTGAGGATCTCGATCGAGTGATTCGCGTGCCTTGCTTCAGCCTAGAAATGCTTAGGAATCCGCGCTCATCGCCGCACCACGCACGTTACACGAATCGGGATAGATTTCGAAAAAGAGATTCCCGTATTCATGGCAGCCGTCATCGAAGCACGAGCGCCATTTATGAATGCGGGGCTCTTTATAAGTTGCAGGGCGCGGAAAACTCTGAATCGCCCCGCACTTCAGGGCCCTCCGATTCGGAAAGGGGTTGATAGGCAAGGAAAATTCGACAGCACTTTCGGGGAATTTAAAATGTTACACAAAAGGGTAAGCCGGCAGGCCGACGTTTAGCGATCCCCGCCTCTCGTGACAGAAGCACATAGCATTACACCCACAAAGAGGATTTCTTTTCCACGTGATTACTGATAACCCATGAAGCAGTGGCAATTAGGGCTAAACCCGACCACCCCGACCCTTTTCCATTTCACAATAAAAGTCCAGCACTAAACTTCCGACGTCAAATTCAACAGGGGATCGATGGCGCCATTCAAGCGACTTTTAAATCCGCGCAGGAACTCCAAACGCTGTTTTTCTTACAATATGCACTTAGAGAAAATTTGTAAATAAAAACAGCGGAAAGCTTCAATAAAGTGGACATGAAATGAGTACGATGCGCATTAACTTTATGTTTGACCAGAATAACGACAACAGGGTTCACCTAATCGTCAGAAATAACGCCGACTGTCCCAGAGAAGTGTGGACCGATTTTCAACCAGCCATGCTTTCTCACACTTCGAACCCTGATGCTCCATAATTGAGTTTCTAATATGCCCAACAGTAGAGCAGCACATGAAGCCCTTCAAGATGAAGATGACCGCCGCATAACGAAGTCCATGAGAAACGAATGATAATCGCATTACGATCTGGGGAGCTGTTTCTACCTCGGCTTGATTTGTTTTAAATGAGCAGTGGAAAATTTTGAACATCTTTCTCAATACGCAACATAAAAATAACAAATTAATCCCAATTCAGAAGTGCGATACTCAAAGTTTTAAGACACCTTTTGGCTTCCAAGTCATTTTTTTGAGATCGCGTGGTTTGGGAGAAATTTTTAAAAATCTGGGAATTTTTTGCGGAAGCATTCTTTTAAAAATTTGCATCGCAATCACTTTATGTCGGATGGAAATTAAAAATTTTTGCGATATAATATCATCAGAAGTAATCGAACTGAAATTAAATGTCTGCTCAAACTCAAACTCAGCTTTTCAGAGTATACTAATACTGTATTATAGCACTGTACTGTACTATTTTTTTTATTTTTTACGAAATGTTCCAGTAAAAAAAAATTATCATTACTACTATTCCCTGAACCAGCCGGTGTATGACATACAATCGAATGCTCACGATGGAAAAATGCTTTACAGTCGTAATAAATCCCATAATGTACAACTTCCACGAGCATTTTCACTAATGGGCGGAATCTAAACTTCGTCGAACGGGATCGAAAAAAAGAAAAACCGTGAGAAGAGTAATACGAATAATCCGCGAGTAGATAAGAAGTGTTTTAAAGTTACAATTCTAAAACGGAAGAACTTTCGCCAAGACGTGTATTTTCAGGAATTTTTTTTTCATTGCCATCGTCATTCTAGGTGAGATCGATCATGAAAATGGTGCATAACTTTGACGATGATGAGCTCAAAGATGATAAGCCAGCAAGTTAACAGAAATCCTCGTAGCGATAAAAAAAATTCCTTGCAGCAGTAGCGAAAAGGGGGCGTGGTACAAGAGATCCAACTCACCTGAGGGGAAAACTCGTGCACTATGGCGTTGCGGATTACTTCGTCGTCAGACAGACCATCATAAGGTTGCCCTTGGGCAAACGTGAAAATTTCCCAGAGGGTCACAGAGAAGGCCCAGACGTCACTTCCGCCGCTCCATTTTCCCTGCGAACAATAACCGACGCATTATTTCTCACGTCGCACAAGAGGTTGCCGCAACTCTCGTCTTTGCCGCGATCAGAAGTAAAGTACTATTTTTCGCTGGTCGCATCCATTATACACTGTCGCATGACTATATCAATTGTGCATTTTCAGCCGAAAAATTTTAGAATGCGCGTAGAATGAAGGCACGCGACGTGGTTTTGACCGTAAAATCGAAGGAATACGAAGTACAGTACTCTACTGTAGTTCCAGAACGGGATTCTAGAACAAAGCTAAGACGTTCTCAATCAACACGTCTCCCTTTTTCTCAGAAATTGGACTCACACACTACTCGTGAAAAATTAAATTAAATTCGATACTTCACAAACATTGAAGTTGAAGAGTGACTAAGGCAGGAATATACACATTAAAACGTGACAACAAAATTTTTTCAAAGCCATTCGGAAGCCAAAAGTACATCAAAACAACGGAGGAGACGAAAAAAAAACACATTCGTTTTATAAATCACTCTAGCTTGAGTTTTCTAAACAAACGAGTTCATTTTCGAGATGCGTTACGGCCGTTCTTGTGACAGCAGAAAGCGGTAGTATTTTTAAGAATGGTCGGAGTGTTCTACACATACCGTAGAGATTCCTTCCCAAGCCATCCAGCGAATAGGCAGTTTGGTATTTTCAAACATGTAGTAATCACGACTGAACTTTTCTTGATACATGGCGAAGTCTGAGATCTTGACATGCAGTCCAGAGCCAACGAGGATGTTCCTCGCGGCTAAATCACGGTGCACGCAGGTGAGGGACTCTAGATACATCATTCCCGATGCGATTTGCGTCGCCATGAATAACAAATCTCCACAGGTCAACTTGTTCACACTGCTGAGAAAAGTATCGAAGTCCTGGTCCGGCAGGAATTCGGTCCCTGGGGCGGATCGATTCTTGGTCCGCAGGAACGAGTGAAGGTCGCCGAATGGCAAGTACTCCACTATCACTGAATAGCGTGACAACGGATCCTCGGTCGTCCTCGAAATCCCGATGATGTTGGCAATGTTGGGGTCGCGCAGCTCAGATAACAGCGCTACCTCCTGCGCCAACGTCGCACTGCAAATAACCAGAAGACGAATCCCTCAGAAAAATCCGAATTAAGGGATTGCGTGAACGGTAATCCCTTAATGCCCATCTGCCTCGCATCGAAACTGGTTCACGGCACTTGCGGTGAGTCCATGAACTAGATTGTCCTCACGATTCAAGCTTTGATTTGTTTCAACGTTAGGGTAATGGAAAATTGGTAGAAGTCCCCCACCCCGGCATACGACAAGTCGATGCAAATTCTCTATTCGGTTTGGAATATTTAACAGATCCGTTTAGGAAAATGTTTCAGGTGGAATTAAACAAGTCATTTGGAGTATTTTTCGGACCATATTTAACATAGAGTGACAAGTTCGCCATACAGGATAGACCAGAAAAAGTAGGCCGAATTTCCCACGCAAATCAAGCTCCAGGTTTTGCGTTAAACAAGCTTATTGATTTATTAACCTCAGTGGAAATACTGTACAAGAAAACATAAAACGGTGTTTGTTAGTTTCTTTCCCTCCAAGGGTGAGTGGACTCAGGCAGGGATCCCTGAATTTTGCCAGCACTGAAATAGTTTTGTATCTCTTCACCATATTGGATCATTTTCAAGGGATTCGCAGGCAATCCGGATGGATCATTCCAAAAAAATAGGAATGCGTCACTTGATACAACAGCTCGCACATCAATCGAAGGCATACGAAGCTATGAGAACCCTAATTCGAAGACCTCTTGATGCTCTCAAAGAACACGTGTTCTTATTTTTTACATGTCTGCATTAGTCATCATGCCGATGCACATAGAAGCATACCAAGTAAGAATTTAAAAGATGATTGAAAGAAATTTTTCGTTTTGCTTGCTGCAATAGATGAATGCTTCCAATGGATATTGATGTTCAAAAATCGGTTTACTTTTCATGGCCCATCCTACATTGCGTGCGAGGAGTAATAGTGAAACGGAGGATGATTGTGAAGCTCTGGAAATTCGGAAGTTCCCAAGTCCTTTGAAAGCAAAGTAGGGACCTCGGCGTTAATCGGACTGCTTTGGCTTAACGACGATAGAACGACTATATTTTTGGATCTTGTTCCAACTGCTGAAGAAATACTGCTTCAGTTCGGCAATATGATATTTAATGAGTAAAACTTGCTCCCAGAAAGGAGCCAATGTTGTGCCTTGATAAGAACTTGAGGACTTGGGACAAGGTCGACTCTAGCCACGACGAAGAGCATTACACGTATCAATCTTTCATTCACGCGAGATCACCCAAGACAGGTGGACACCGACTCGAGGAGAGGTTTCAAAACACTGCATCAGCTTAGGGGGGAAAGAAGTTCCCAAGGTCTTCGGACGAGTGGATTAGGATGAACAAGCTAGGTCTCTCGATCCTCGCAACCCGCCGGCTGTCTACGGGCACCAGACACTCTTGGCAGGTATTGAATCTATTATTTAAATCCCTTGCAGTGACGCACAAGGAACAGGGACCAGAGAAATAAGAATTCCGGCAGGTACCAGTATGTTCATAAATACTGGTACGTGCCACAGCGGATTTGGGCCAACTCTGATGTTCGCAAAACGCGCAAAGCAGTCCGATTAACGCCGAGGTTCCTACTTTGCTTTCAAAGGACTTGGGAACTTCCGAATTTCCAGAGCTTCACAATCATCCTCCGTTTCCCCGCACGTTGAAGGATTCAAGAGTATTTGACTTAGCAACGACTCGTCCCGACATCTGTAAAACTTGGGCATCACTTTTAATTTCAAATAAGATTTTCATGCAAGGATGATTCCACATGACATCCATGACGAACAGCAACCTTTCTACACAGCGTGTGCACGTAGGAAAGTTCATTCCTAAGTCTTATCAGCCTTTGCATTCCGCTATTCCTGGAGTCTTTTATTGGACGGGCGAAGATTAATATAATTTTCCCGGGCTGAAATCTGCTAATTTTCTAATCATAGTTACAATATCAGCTCACGCGGGTTAAAGTGAGAAGAAATGCATGGTACTTCAGCTGTTCGCACAATTCAGCACTGAACGAAGATAATGTTTACGCGGCAGATTTGAACGTTCATGAATTACAAGAAAGTCCAGGTGCTGTTACCGACTAATGTACTTCGAAGAACCAAGAAATGCTGTCGGTAGCAATGCTCCAGAAGACCACAAAACAAATCCAAATGAAAAAATTAGTCCGGATTCTGTCAATTTTCGTGTCATTAGTGTTGAACGTAAAAATGTCCTTTCAGTCAGGGTAACACCTGAAAGTCCATAGGATGTGACCACAAGGCTCGTTCCACATATTTTTATTGATTCCACGTTGTTTTAAACAATTGTATCCGCGAGTACTGTACTCAAAAAACTCCTTCTCAAGCTACTGTCGAAACTTTTGGATCACCGTTTGCATATCGAGAAATATATCTAGGAAAAGAAATTATTTTAAAGGGAGAAATGTTTTCGACATGGCTGCGGAAGTCCAAGACGATGAAGGTGAAAGCAACTGACCTCTCCGAGTCGCTGGCATTACAGCGTGTCAAAGTCTTCAGCACGACAAGCTCGGTGGACTCGAAGCACTCCCCAGGAAGATTATAATCCTCTGCAGACCCACTGCTTCGCCTCGGAATCTTGCACAAAAAGATCGTGGCGAAATCACCTCCTCCGAGCCGTTCCAGAAAGCTGATGCTCTCGCGCGGGACTTCCCGCACCCCGCAGAACTCGATCCCACATTCGGGAGAAGAAACATAATACCGATGCCCCGGATGGAAAAGGTCCTGGAAAAGAAGCGCCATAATGTGCATAATTGAAGGTACGTCTATAGTGACACAATCGCGGGCGATCCGTCTTGATCAAAAAATGCGAAACTCGCTCGCCCGACACAGCGCCCTTCCGTGCAACGCCCAGTCGGACTTCATTCGTTTCAATTTATGTCATCAGTCCAAAGGGGTGTCCAAGCGACTTATAAATTAGCACTGGAAAAGAGATCGACGAGAGATAGTGCGCCGTGTTACTCGTCGCTGGTCTTCTTAACGCGTGCACGGGCATCAACCTCGGAAGCAAAAGGTGATGATTTGAGCCGCATCGCGTTTCCTGCGCTCGTTAATAACGTATCTCATGCTCCATTGATGCTAGCTTGCGCGGAAGGAAAGGCGAAGCGAGTTTTCTTTTTTACTCGGATTACTACTCACGTTTTCGCTGCTGCGATTGCTGCTGGAGCGGCGGAGGCTGTTGTGTCGGCCAAGAAGTGGCGTCGTCGCCGGTGACCGCTCCGAGTTGAATCTCGGGATAGCGAACTGCTGTCTGCGGGATCGCTCGCGGCGTTGTGCTACTTTTTCAGATCGATGTCTCGGTTCAGGTGAGACCGATTCCTGGCCTGACAGGCCCGGCTGCGACGTGATGCGCGGTAGTAAGGCAATCTCGGATTCCGTCGACACCTCGTGTCCTGAAGCGAGAAAGACCAGAAGGGAGTACAGTACAGAAACATAAAGCCACAAAAGTACGGCCAATCTCATTCGAATGCGGCTAGTAACATTCGCCTTATGAACGTAAAGAGTCGCGGTGTACACATTCCTCACACGCGTCGATCGGTCATTGCGCGTGATTACTCGTTTCATTCACAAAAACGAAGCACAACTCTTCCTTGAAACATAAGTAAAATCTAATTTAGCAACGTTTCCCGGCAGATAACCTCAATAATTTAGACACAGGAGAGTTTTTCAATTAATTTCTACGGCAGATCCCTCTTTAAAATCGGTTTCATTCGTTCTCATTCCCTGTGCCTTTTTGGGGCACCAGAAAAGTGAATTTCCCTCAAATCCCGGTCTTCATCTCGAGTTAACCCTATTTCTCGCAATTCTTCATGATGAATGCGTTTCAACTTTTTTTAAATTATCTGAAACAAAGGTTCTCAGTCTTTCTGTCCTGCTTAGAACCGTCTTCAAATCGATTTCCACGATGAAAGCCCTCGGGTCAGCCTTGCTTTCAAATATTTGGGGTGTCAATCTTTAGTTGAGGGTATACAGTAGTTCTAACTTTATTGTCAGCTCCAAGCATATACTATGTTCTACTGCATGTCCTCCATGCATTTACATTTCGACAGGTTTAATTTGAGCATCGTATCTCTCCCAGTCATTCTTTTCTTCGATTTTCTTTGAGCAGTCGCGGAGCCCCACCTAATTGTAAGCAGAGCTTTTACAGTTCTAAGGAGCACACACTCCACACCGATGGACGTAAGTGTTCAGCAGCTCTATCATCCATAGTTCTATCATTTACTGTCTATACTTCGCCTGTACCCGGTTCGAAGGATATCACCGAACATGAATGCCAATCGCAGAATATCACCATCTTCTCGCGATTCTCGAAAACGAGAATTGCCAGATGTCTGTCGAAAGGAACCAGAACCTTCCACGATAGCTCATGACCTGGTTTCCCTTGATTCAAGAACGTCTATTGGAAGAGCTATCTGCATCGAATAAAAATTGAAATATTCTCCGAGGGAGAACATGAAGAGTGGCATGTCGAAGGGTGAAAAATTGTACATGATAAGAGCATCCCCAGTTTTCAATTATTCATTTTCAAGGAACATCCACGAAATCTTGGTTAGAAATGTTCCCCTAACAAACGGAGATTCAAGAATTCGCATCGGATAATTTTTCTCGGTGTTCCGGATGGAGGTGGGAAAAGCATTACTGAGAAGGCATTTTTCGGCAGAAGTTGACAGCGAGGAAGGAGCCTCGTTCGCAAATTTCCGTTCAATTTTTTCGGACACCTTATCAAGATTTGACGTCGCTCATTTCTCGATGCTGTCCATTCACGGCTTACGAGTATCATTCCTCTTTCCCCCTACAAAAACCGAACGATGATGCTCAGCGATGACTGCTGAGGTGGGCCCTCAATATCCCGTTGTCTAGCACGGGACACGTCAGTCAACGTCGAGCTAGGTTGGAACATCCATACGAAACGAATGTCGAGCAAGGAAAACCATCTCGTTGTTTCCTGTCGACAAGGGAAGAAGCAAAATATATTCTTCCCATACCATCACGTGGAATCGTGACTGATCCTATCTGCGACATCGAATTCAGCATCGACAAGGACTTCTCGTTCTTTGCATGGTACCGCAGGACGGCTCGGGAAATGTACAGAATCCTTCAACGAAATTCAATTAAGAGATAAGCCAGTACCATCTCGCTTGTCCGGAAAGGCCATCTTATCTGCATAATTTAAAAGAATTTGTTCGCACGGGTGGATCTCGCCGCTCTCTTCGCAGAAGAAAACTATGAATCAGTTAAAAGTAGTAGCTTTGGAAATTCCACGAGACGCAGAGAAGTCATTCGAGGTGCAATTTGGGCAACGCACACGCATGCATAGTTTCCTTGGACAATGTGAGATCCACTTTTTCTCCCAATACCAAGATGGTTCAAGTCAATCTCTGAACCGATTTTTCGAGCGCACCATCCTCACAAGATTACACTTCACACGGATACTATATTCGGGACAAGGCATGTTTTCTTCGCATCAGCCAAGGTAGCTAGGATGCTCCTTCTGCTTAATAATTTAAGGGTCATTGCTGGAAGCTAGCTATAAATAATTGTATCTACACCCTCGCGAGTCCGGCTAAATCGTGGAATTCACGGGGAGTCTACCTCCATCCATTTTATCAAAGCCGCATTTGAAGCGTGGAATTTGTTCCTTAATTACTGCAGGAATTCTGGAGAACCGCCTTATCCGCCATCGTCGAAAATGCATCAATTTCACAGGTTTAGTTGCATAGGATTCAGATTATAACCAGTTTCAAACAAGTCATATGGACAAGTTGAATTTAACGTTGCCCGTGGGACATTTAGGTACTGTATACAGTGATATGGGCTCCCATCTACTAACGATAACCCCTGGTTTCCCAGGGGCTCCACAACTGCCCCCGGAAAATGAAGAAAACGTTTGGAGTATGTCCTTGGTTCGAGACGAGGAACCACAAACATTACCTTAGGACAACGGATCTGAAGGTGAAGACCTCATCAAATTTTGGCTGAGATATGTACTGTAAATTAAAAATAATGCTGCGCAAGTTGAACGCGTCGAGAATCTCGGAATTGGGAGATGAGTTGGCAGAGTGCGAACGGCTTTGATACTAGGCCAGCAGTTTTGAGACACATCGCACTGGAATCCGGAATCCGTTATTGGAAGTCTCCCGAAGTGCCTAATTTATGCGTGGAGAGCGAACAGCCTACGCGTCGCAGCAGATATGTGCGAGCAAGATAACAATAGGTGAACTGAATGTCACAGAACCGCTCGACTTCCCGCGCCAAGCAGCTAAGGTCAACACCGACGGAAGGAGGCCGTTGAGGGTGACATGAAGGGTGAGTTCGCCGATCCGAAACCGTACGAGACGATTCGGAGTAGGACAAATAATATGCGCTTTAACGGCTACATCGCAAGCATTTTTACGTAATGCACCGAAATTACACAAAGCTTTGTTCGAGACAAAATATTCAGAAAAATCGAACTCCGCCGTGTTTCGCCACCGGGAGTCGAAAAATATCGAGAGTTTTTCTCACATCCCGCTTTCTCAACTTCGTGAATGGAATGGATCCGAGGACATAAAACTCACCTGAGTCATTTCTGAGCAGCACTGGACTGCAAGTTTAATGCAAAATTGCGATGATAAAAAAAAGTACAACAGGAACATGCGTGTACCTAGCTGTTTCGGATGCGTCGGCGGAAAACGAGTCGGGAAATATTCTTGTAAGCAGATGAATATTCATTGGCTTAAATGAGCCAACATATTTCCCAAAAGTGAACGCAGTACAGTCTAATACAGTATCACGGACATTCACTCACGGAAGACATGTGGAGTCGTTATTTCTGAGTAAAGAAAAAGTTCGCTCATTCTTCGCCATATCCAGCGGTCACTGTGAGTGTGTCACGGAACGTGAGCGCATTAGCAATACTGTATGACAAACTTGCTTCCACGATTTCTCGCTCGACGAAAATATGCGAAGATAAATAGCACACGGAATCTTCCCGAGTACACAACGTGATGTTTACATTCAAAGCCGCAGATCGCGCTGGGCATACAAAGTACCATAGCGGCAGAAAAACTATCCCAACTCTGCACGGAAAAGTCACTCGAGGAACGCCGGGACTTCCGTTGCGAATGATCGGTATCACAGAAATACATTACCGCCATTTTCTTCGAAGTTGCGAGGAATTTTGGCTCAATCTCTTCGGTGGAAGCAAAAAGCTTCAGAATTACCGCTCCACAAAGCTTGTCTAAGCGGTCAAAACTCGATCATCCAGGCTTCAATTCAATACGCATTCGATCCAATGAACCCCAGATTGAAAGTCTCTTATAGGCCCAATAAAAATGGTCTATATAGACGCTTTATTTTTCTAAGAATGAATAGTATTTCAAACATAAAAGAAGTAAAATTGTGAAAACATGACGGGCATCAAAAAGTTTAAAAATATCAGAAATAAAAATAATTATGCAACCTGGAGAACAAAATACGAAACACGGAAAATATTTAAAAGTAATTTGGGAAATGCTGCTCTCTTCGAGATTTATCAGAAATGATCTTAAATCACCTCAGATCATTTTTAAATGCATTTCCTTGAGCGCAGATTTTTTTTTTCATTGTCGGATACCGCTAATCTGTAATTATCTGAGCTAATAATCGAGGCCCTCCTGCTTTTACTGTTGAAATCGGTGAGTTGACGAATGGTTATCAGGGATCGTATGGAAAGCATTTTGTGCTAAAGAATAAAACGCTTTACGTGCGATTTGAACTCCGACGCTCTCGATTCAAATACGAAACAACTATTTTCAATTTTTCAAAAAAATACCCCTTTGATATCTGCCGCGTTCCATCCGTCAGCGGTTCCGTTAAATGTAATTCAAGGTGGAGCTCCCAAAATTTTTCTTGAATTCCATTGCTTGCCTTACCTGCCATGATACGCATACCTGGATACACTTATTCAATAACTCGCGCATCGGGATGAACGAGGTACAGTAAAGCTTTAGCCGTGACGATGACAAAAAGCTCTACATCACCGCCGAGCACAAGACGAATGGCTGACAACAAAGCAAGCAATTGCATAGTGAGCCTAACCAGCAAAATTATTGCAAGCAGATGCACCAGCCCAAACCCCATGCGATTTCCTGTAATTACATCTCGGACCCCGGCTGCGCTTGCAGACACACGGATGTAGCAACGAGAAAGCGATTGTTCCCAGACTTCAGATAATCGGAAAGCGAATTCACGAATAATATCTGCACAGACCGGAACTGTATTCACGAAGCTCGCAAAATCAGCATATAAAAAAGGATACAAAAAATCCACCGGCGAGATTGGCAAGAGACCTCAACAAATGGAAGCCGCCGGTACCCATCACAGCTGCATGCTAGATCATTTTGTTTCCAACACAATATCGGTAGATTTCAAGGAAATCTTTAATCGCACGGAAATGATTTCCACAAGAACAGATCGGCCCAGTAATATGCAAACTTCATCCCCCATATGTTCAAAGGGCACGATCTAAACTGAACTGATCATAGCACGGTTCTATCGAAGATTTTTACATTTGCATGATTCGTATTCATTCCAAAAATGTTATG